GGGATAGTAAATTTCTGAACAGAAAGAAATCATATGGCCCACCTGGGTTGGTGAGAGCATTCACCAACAAAACTGGCACATGCTACAGACAGTTTCCAGTAGTAGCTTCAGAGTGTATCTGTAACCCACCAGAACTGAGTGTCTTGATGCAGATTAGTCTAATACTGTATGATTCTGAGTTTCCACTTCCATAGGAATTCAAGTTTTCAAGAGGGCTACACTTTGATTAATGCTACTCGTCTATCATACCATCAAACACTCGTAACTCATACTAAAAAATAAATTTTTTTATTGAGCCCGAACAACGTCAAAATGAGGTATGACTTAGATATTGTCCCTTAGTGTCTGAAATCAGTCTGTTTGGAAATACTCTTTGATAGCGGAAATCCCAGAAGGTGATGATGGAAAGGATGATAAGTGGAATTACATACTCTGGAGGGGCATGAAAGAGGAGTAAATCAAGTTCAAGTTTCAATTCAACAGAAAGCAGCTATTCTGGCTGTTGACAGGAAACATACTGAAATCCAGATCTATAAGGTGTTGTACGGAAAGGAAGAGGAAGTCTTCTTACATGTGCAAGGACACTTGCTTAAGCTCTGCCCTTTCTGGTAAAAAATAAGCTGCAGGCCCCAGTGATACATCCTGGTCAGAAGGATTATTCATCCCCTTTGGAATCACTGTATCGACAGCGGCAAACACTTAAAACTTCACAGGGGATATAGCACCGCGTGACTGCCCTATAAACTTTTCTAAGTTTAGTCTCATCTTTTCAATGGAAATTTTTGCAATGTCTGTCAGTTTGAGTATTCTTCTCTGAACCTCTTTCATTTTATCTATAATTTGCTCAGAGATGAAAGTGATTGTAATGTAAGTATTCTAAAAGAAGACTTACAAAGCCACATTATGACCCTTCTGCCACCTTCTCAAGTTTATTTTCTTACTTCTTGGTCTGTCCCTGTCTATGGTTTTCAAAGAACAGCTGGTAATAATGTTTAAATTACAACTGATATGAACCTATCAACAGATATTTCTTGTTTAAATACCCATTTTTAACACTGACTACAGCTGAATTTCTCATCTTATCATGCCAGAACATTATTACTTTTTATTTTGTAATGAGTTTGTCTCCTATTTTCTCTGTTATTGACTAATTGAATATTTGGACCTATACACATTTTGTGTATCACTCGTTAACTAGTTATTTTTCCTATGTATCTATCAACATTTTTCTGATTGATATTAGTATATATTTGTAGGAACAGAGAGAGAGACAGAAAAATTACAAAACAGAAAGTAGAAACATAGAAAGTAAAATGTTTTTCTTTTTTGATCAAAGAGACTATTTATAAAATGCTAGTATTCGCACCGGTCTTCAGAACATCTGACTAAGTCTATCTGTTAGTTGAGAAGTGTCTAAGTCTTTCTTCCTGTATTATCTCATTAGTTCCTAACCCTGGAAAGTAGTACGCCTGTGATAAAATTTTTGATAACCACCAAAGAATGACTATATTTTTCAGAGAGAGTTTTACTGAAGAAATTCTACTTCTGTCAGCTATTTTAACTAAATTACCTAATGCTGGTTTTATGTGTTTGTAATTGTTAGGTTTCCCACATCTCCAATCTCAAAGTGAAATAGGTTATTACCTATATTCTTCGCTACTCATTTTTGGTAGTAGGTAGTAGATGTGTATTTTGCAGTAACTCACATACTTGCTTTTTACATTCATTTTTAACTTTTCTGTTTCTGATTTATCCTGAGCACTATTGTATCATTATAATAACTTTGTTAGAGAGACCAGGATTATTTCATTCAGTGCTTTTGATGGGAAGCTGTTTAGTTATTGAGATGAAGTATTTGGAGGAACTGAACAAGAGTTTCCTGTTATATCTTGAATTCTATGTTTCAAACTGCCATGATGGTGGAGGGATGCAGAGCCTCTGGTCTGATCATATTTATCAATTTGTCATATATCACCTCAGTTTACCACCCCATTTTTATTACATGTGAAGGATTGTTTTAGGGTAGGACCTTCCCTTTGCTGATTATTGGAGACTAATGCAAAGGGTTCTCTGGATTACCATAATCCTCTTATCTTCTAATGGTTTAACCTGCCCACTTCTTTCAAATGGTTTTGTACTGCTTGCAGTATCCAAGTAGTAGGTTTCTTTCCTAAGCTATATTTGAGACAAGGAAATCAGGGTCATGGTTACATTTGAGAACAACTTTATGGAGTAGTTTTCTACAAAGACCGAAAGAAACAAAATCCTGGCTCTTCATGTAACATTTATTATTTAGAATAAAAGAGTAATTTCATAAGCTTGCAACAGCTTACGAGTGACCACTAGGAGAAGAAGATTGTTTTTTGCATTAAATTATTAATATCCACAAGGGCCTACCACAAAGAATGATAATTTTGTTCTTTTACATGGAAGGCATGGAAGATTTCTCTGCAAATTGATTAGTCTGCCAGGGGCCACCCCTCGCAAGGTTTTGCCAGTAAGTAATCGGTTTCTAAGATGTGACAAATCAACACTTTGATGACTTTATTTATACCTGATGCTCATGACCCACCTGTAGCATCATTATTTTGTGTTCTAGAAAGCTTACTGTGCTAGGGTTTATACCTATACTTGATGTATTATTTGTATGATGCATACTATGGGAAAGACATTAAAAGGAGCAATACAGTATTAGCATGCAAAGAAATTACCATGTGAATAACAATATTTTTTAAATAAAGCTTTACATGAACATTTGCCAAAGCCAAGAAATTTTAAAATTATTTACATGTGTAATGTGAAATTAGCATGAAATGCTAAATAGAGCTGCAATGCTCTTTTGTGGAAGTAACTCATTATCTTTCACTTAAAAGCCTTCCATGGTGTGAGACTGAAAAAGAACAAAACTCAAAAGTTTACCTGAATGAAAGTTATCCCATGTTTCTAAAAAGTGTTACCAAAACCTATATCCCTTTGCCACAGTCTGTTTAATTTCAACTGTGTGCCAATTTACACGTATTTTATAGTTTTCTGGTTACTTTCACCAGTAACCAAACGCAGTCTTGACCCTTTTCCATACATGAAAACAGCCAACCGTGAGTGCAGCAATGGGAGGTCTGACCTTTCAGGTATGTCAGCTGAAGACCACCCTACTGGAAGAGGTAACAAGAACAAAAAGCCGAGGTCAAACAAGGCAGCCCCATGTAATTAGATACTAATAGTGGATTTAGGGTGTAAAATTCACTTAAAACCATACACCAACAGACTAAACAATCCTAGTAAGAATGGCAAGTTTTGTTCTAAAAAAATGTTTTTAATAGTGGAACACATAAATAAAACATACATAATAACCCTGACTGACAGACTGCACTAACCTGTGGTAACATCTGCTCCCAAATTATTTAATATAGGCTTGGGATAGTCTAATTATAAACCACTGAAACTCTACTGTATCTTATAGTACAGTGTGCATCCAATTTCATTAATTTATTACTGAATTAACTTCTCCCAATAGCAATTTTTAGAATTTAAATTCTGACTAGTAAATAAGTTCCTCTCTTTAACAGTCAACAGCAAAACCAAAAATGCAGGCCTAACTGTATGTGAACCTAACAGGGACACATGCTGAATTAGATGCTCAACAAATAGGCAGTTGCTTTTGCAGGGTATGATGGGGTCAAAGTGATTAATATGACAAACTTTATTTCTGATGGCCATTTCACTTTGTGTTAATTTCTGATGCTTTTGCAGGATTGATGTGGTACCTTTACATGCCACAGACTTGGTTTGCTAAAACTGCAAGATCAATCATAAAGAAAATCCAATTTCTCCTGCTAAAGTATCTGCTAGTCATCTTCTCTTGTTGCTGCTGGGTCCCTGGGTCATGTTGGAGACTGGCTTTTTGCAGTCTTTCCAGATGCCCTAATACTTTCATAGCTGCAAAAAACTTGAAGGTGATCACATCTCAAGAAACTCTGATTTAATAATCTTCATTTAGCCTCATTTTACAACTAGTAAATTAGTCTAAATAATTAAACCAATCAGATTAATTCTGTATCTTATATACAATTTAAGTGAAATGTATAAGCCTTTTGGAAACAGTGCTTTAAGAACTGTTAAAGAATTTAGTGTATTTTTGGCACACAGTCCGAGGACAGAAGAGTTCCTTCCTTGGATTTTCTCTTTGTGCTCCAAACCTTCCCAGGGAGAGACAGGTAAATACAGAGGTATTGAAGGATGCTGAAAACTAGTAAGCAGCAACAATTCACACCCGCTGAGCATTCAGTCCACTGCATTCTTCTCTGTTAGTGATATCTCCTGTGCAACAGAAGAGATGTTTGGGAAGGACTGAATTTGTCTCTCGGAGCTTGTGGCAAAACTGAAATTGGAACTGGAACTGACCAGGGATGTCTTGTCTGCTAGCAACCACTTTCAAATCATTTTCTGTAGTAGCTTTCCAGTATACAGAGTAGGTGTTGTCAGCCAGTAATAACCTTTTGAGCCAGCTCCCATTGTGCACTGTCCCACCACAGTGGCAGGAAGGGCAGTGGTAGCACTTCCACTAATACTGCGTAACTTCCGTGGCACCTACAAGTTATTCGGCTTCAGATCTACTAGGAGCATCTTTTACCTGTACTGGTCCACATGGTTCCACATTAAATATGTCTAAACTTCTATGAAAACATACAAAGAATGTGAATCTAGGTGGGAAGGTGGGCAGCATTTAGCACAGTGTCAAAGCATAAAAATTTCCAGAAGTTAGTGTTCGCTACCCCCCTGCTGTTCTGACATTCACTTACTGAGACAGTGATTACTTTTAATGAATCTACCATGCTTGCTGATGATGATACATTTGCTTTCAGGAATACCCCTGCACTGAGAACTTCCCTGCTTATTGAATGCCAGTCTGGCACAGTGCAGCTACATGGAAAGTAGATTTACCTTTTGTTTTTTAACCTGTTGAAGGGAAGACTGATCTTAGTGAGAAATGTAATGCTCACCTTTTTGGGTCAATGATCTTGTAGAGTTTTCCACTGTGAGGCTGTGTCATACTTTTACTGCTTGATAATATGTAAATCTCACCTGTTAAAGAAACCAACACAATAAATTAGTTCTCCTTTCCTAAGAGGTCAAATATGTGATTTTTGTGATCTAGCTGTATTTGCAAGATGAGCTGAAAAAAACTTCAGAAGAAGCACTCATCTCTGAAACATGCAACAGAATCATTGCTATTTGAAAATTTAAATAAGCACTTTCCCTGATTTGAAGCTAGAATGTGAAAGATATTTTATCATTAATGTTTTTTGTTTCATATTGCATATAATAGGTTAAAAAAATAAACTCGGTGAGAAAGGGATAGAAGGGAGATTGATCTGCTCATGCAATATATCTGACCCTTAAGTCTGTAATGTTGGGAATAAAAGCAGGTATATGACACATCGTGTCATAGTAACTGACAAAATTCCCAGAATGTGAGAGACAATAAGGACCATTGCCTCTTCCAGCAACTCATTCTCTTCTTGGTTCTTCTTACAGATCTGCTACACTATAGTTGAAAGCAGTGTAGGCAGCTTTGACAAAGGAAAGATAGCCTTTAGATTTCGTATTTTTAAACTTTTAGTATAATCTTGAATAGTTCAGCAGGTATTACCAATAAGGCTTATGATTTAATAACATTTTTTTCTATTATTTACCTAATTCATCTTCACCAAATCCCAAGATAGGGCCTGAAAAGAAACCTCTACATGAACCAGTGTTGCCAAGGCAGAGGGGCTTCTCTTGCCACTGTTTGGTTGCAGGACTCTGTTGCAGTGTTAAAAAATTTCTATATTCAAAAACACATAAAAAAATTTGTTATATTACATTTTTAATAGTTTTCACTGTCCAGATAAATAAACATTTGCTGCAAGTAGCTCAACAGATACATTTGTGCAGTTCATAATTTTATTATTTCCTGCCTATTCATTTTCAGATAGCACAGCATTTATCTTCCTGTCATCCAAATATTGCAAAATTGGGTTCGAGCTATACTATATAGGCATGTGTGAATACTGAGCTACTTGGCATGGGAGAACTATGCCCTTTCATTAGAAAAGCATTCATTTTACTCCATCAGTGATATTTCCATAAAACCCCAGAAATTTTCAATGTCTTACTGGTTAGACCTGTTTGGAAAACAGTTCCCTGATTAACATTCATTCCCATTATAATGCAAATGACAAATATAAGTGTTTGTAGAACTAAAACCTTAAGAGCACCATGATGTGAGTGTATTTGTCTGTACTTTTTCCAAGGATCAGATGTTGCACATGTTGCCATTCATTAGAATGCTGTGCTATTTTATTTCCACATCTAGAATTTAATCTGCATTGTCACACTGCTAAAATGGCAAAGTGACACCATATACAAGACTGCTGGTGTTCCATCATACAGGAAGCTGAATAATTAAATACACCTTATATGCTTTTTTGTTTAATACTGAATTATAAGAAACCTACCCATTGCGGTCTCCAAATACATAACTTCCATAGAGTCTTTCAGACTGGCAGCCTCGATAGACAAATCCACCAACCAAAGATCCACTGCTGAATGGCTTGAATTCTAAAAGTGAAGGCTCACTTTCTAAAAAGGAACTACCATAGCATTAGATCATATGCAGTTTCATATTTTGATTCACATTTATGAAAATGTTATTACTTCAAGAAAAGAGATTAATTCCATTTAAATATTCCTCAAAATACAAGATGTGTTGCTGGAACTGAAACGTTAGGGAAAAAAAACCAACAGAAAATTACAACAAAGGCTGTTTGTGAAACAATTGGTTAGGGATTTAGATAGGAGACACTGTAATTGCTTGCTTTGATGTGCACAGGCTGGGGGAATAAAAGTATATAAGGATTAGGTTGGACTTTCATTTAAATCGGTGTGCTTACTGCTATTGATTTTCACATGTCAATACAGTCTGGAGAATGTATCCCTTGAACTTCAGGAATACAATTAAACTCCCTTAACTATACAGTCCTTTCCTGTAAAGTCCTAAATTCGAATGATTTTCTGCAGGATTTGTTTTCAAAACAATTCAATGGTTTAAGAAAGTCTTTCAAAATCACAGTTTTAAACACAGTATGTGTGTTATGTGCCCTAAAACACTTGTACTGCTGGCTGTAGCTTCTTGTGGTAATTTATTTTATGCCACTGTTGCAGTTGCAGTTCCTACACATACTTTTTTAATACTTCTTTACAAAACTGCAGAGTTTAGTCATATCAGGAAGTATCAGTGTAAATATTCTCATTCATGCATTCAAATACTGCTTAGAGTAGAAGTAGGCTGAATTTGACATGCTAACTGCATAATTTTAAATTAAATCCACAGCCAATAAACCTTTTTGTTTTATAGGAAGATTGGCTTTTTTTTCGGTCAGAGTGTTGTCTGCAAGTCTTTGATGAATGAATTTCCTTTATTATTCTACAAGTGTAAGAGGTCAAATTTTATGTGGGAGAAAAGGATGATGAACACTTTTTATTGAAGCAATTGACCCACAGCCTAGAATTAATACTGGCAAGCCATTCTGGATAGATACAATATTGCTTAGTTTACTCTGCAATAGAGATGCAGTCAAAATTCCATTGGAGCAGTAGTTTACCAAATATTATGCTTTGGTTTGACTTTTATAACATGAACACAGAAAGTATATGTGATAACTAAAGCAGAACAGTTGCATTACACGATTGTTTACTATTGCATCAGCCAGCACAGCTGCTTTGCTCTTAAGTAAAGTGCAGGTAGAAGCAGACATGTGGATAAAACCAGAAAGTGCCATGTTCCAGGAGACAGACCAGTTCTTGATGCATTTACACACCTTTGGCATTTATAATCTTTTACCACGATGGATTTAGAAGGTGTTAAATGGTCAACCAAGGGAAATGATAGCTCAGAGTAACTGTCACCTGGCTTGCCTCAACTAGCAAGAGATCTTAGTGAGCAGCAGAGTTACGCATTAAACTAAAATTGTGACTGACAATCATACTGATTCAGAGAGCACATGAAACACTTTAAAGTAATCTAATCTAGCCTTGTATTATGAAGTAGTAGCATAGTGCATTTTTCAAGATACTTCATTTTTAGTAACACTTAAACAGAGCTCAGTCAATTTCCCTGTTTGGTTTTGGTCTGTTGTTGTCTGTCTCATTTTTTCCAGTATAGGAGGCACATTACATGAAGTTTCCATTCTGTATCTTAAAAGGTTATTTGTGAATGACTAAGAACACATTTTCATCACTTCCTGATATTCCGAAATCCTTTCTTCCTAAGCCATCATATGCAGCAACAGTAAGATCTTTGACAGACTAGCAACTGGCATATTACTTGAATCTTATTTACATGATATTCTACAGCAGCTAGAACAAAGTTTAGTTGTTTAAATTTTGTTTTGTTTTGCATCTTTTATTTGCTTGTAGCATACTTTTCATAAGTTCTATTTTTTGTAGGTAACCTATCCTGTCTATGCAGTGAGTTACCTATCATGGCTATAAAGTCCTTTATCTATTTTTTTCTCTTTTCATTTATTATTTCATGGGCATGGAAACCAACTGTTCCCAGTAGCTTCACCCTGGGTGGAACTTACCATAGTCTTTGCCCTTTATTATTTGTAAGATTCTTGCTGAAGATCTGTTCTTTCCGTTTGAATCTGAGCAAAGTATAGTTAGATTGATGTTAACATCTGCTGGGTGGCGATCCACGGCACATCTGTAAAACAAAAAATATAAGGAAATCCATGAGATAGATAAGCTCATAATGTATGATTCTCTGTCAGTAGTATGAAGCATCACATTTAGAAGGATTATCTTTTCTTTGTGATGCCTACTTATTTGAGGGATCTATTTCATACTGAGCCAAAATATCTACGAAGTGCATCAGATTTGTATACAAAAGATAATACATCTTTCCCATCCCTGCACCATTTTTTATGCAATGTGAAGTAAGCCTACTTTTTCCCAGTGATAAAATATACTCTGCTCAATAGCACCTGAAATGAGTAGTGCTTTAATCAAGCTAAAGGAGTTGACTCATATGGTGTTGGAATTTTAGACTGTTAAAAAGTCCAAGAATCAACTCCTTATCTGAAAAACTTGACTTTCTGATTTTTTTCAAACCATGACTTTAAATGTCACTTTAGTACTACCACCCACCTAATTTGCTGAATTATGTGTTGTTTAGTTAAAGCGATGCTCTCCTCCTTGTTATTGTTTAGACATCACCAGATGTTCTCTTTTGTTTTCCGTGGGCCTTTTTTTCTCAGTCAAGACTCTACTGCTCTAATCTCTCAGATTCCCATCTCGGCTGTACTTTACCAACTTTATGCTATAAGTTCTTTTCTTTCATAAAGGTATTAATTTTATTATTCATTAAAACCAAAAATCCTGTACTTTGTTTCTGTCATTTCAGTCTTGGCTTGTAATAGTTGTGCATTCTCTTCTCCTTCCCCGTTGCCAATGGACATTTGTTTCTAACTGTGACATATTTGGAGGAGTGGAAGTTTTAAACACTTCACAAGTGCTTTTATTATTAAAATTTTACTACTTGACTGTATAAAAGATTTCTGGTTGAAAACAGTATCTACCCCAGAGTAGTTAAGTTTAATTGTAACTTACTTACCGGCCTGGATTATGGAGTCCATGTGCAAAAATCTCAGGAGGTTGGTTTGTGCTATTAAAATGTGGGTTGCTCCGTGGTATGGAATAAGGGACATGACACAAGTCAGTGTTTACGTCGAGGCGCAATACAGAACCTGTAAAATCACTGAGAAAGTTGGAGGATAAAATAATTGGTTTTTTGAAGTATTTTACTGGTAGATTTCATCCATGTAATACTACAGTGAACCAGCAAACTAAAGCACCCACTTTACTGAATAATCACATCTAGATTGGTTTTATGGTATGTGCAAGTCCAAAGAACAGTAGCAGAACCTATCAAAGATTCAGTTTGGCCAATATGTTGCCTTGTTATGTGCATACTAGAACGCCTTTGACCATTCTGTTGGAAAATAACTTAATAATAAGAGCAATTTTCCATACATGAATACTGTTTTATGGCTTCCAATATAAAGCTATTAACTCTCTTATACTGTATCTTCTCTAAAGTAACTATGGTTACAATCACTATGTAGTTACATAATGGGTTTTTGCTAACACTTTGAATGATATTCTTGATTTCAATGATTTCTAGCCACAGTACAATCCAAAGATTAATTATCCTTTTTTTTTTTAAAGTAATTGTATTGGTTGAGTGGAGATGTTGATAATTTTGGTACAGAATCAGAACTTTCATGTTACATGAAACAGGACAGAGTAAAATTTTTTGCCTTACAGTCATCATTGTTATGGAGCAAGGGAGAAGGATGTAGAAATAAAAGTAACAGAAGAGTATAAAAACTGTTTTTACAAACATGAATAGATGTGATATTTAAATTGATTCCTTTCTGCCTGTCTTCATCATGAATCTGTTTTGAGTCTCCGCTTGTTTTATATTAATTTAAAATCAAGTATTAGAATTGCTCTCTTTTCTTGGTTTTAAGTATATCCTCACTGCAAAGGGCAAGAACACCTGCTATTCTGCTGAGCCAAAGGCACCTTTGCGCATAGCAACTCCTTTTAGGTCTGTAAAGGCTCAGTACCACACTTTCTCTAAATTAAGGCAAATGTTGCAACTCTAACAGAGCATAATGAAACAGAGGGGAAAAAAGCAGATTGAGAAAATTGTATAGGTAGAACAAAATTAGGATTGCTTCATATGTTCTCTAGGCATTTTCCTGAGTGATACGGTGTTATTGACTCTGGTATGTGTTTGTAGACACTTTTTTAGAATGTTTGCTTGATAAAGTTGACTTGTTCATAGAATAATAGTTTGGGGAAAAAAAGTCTAACCTGTGCGTAAATAAAATTGCATCTACCGGTGAGGGCTGCAATATTTACGCAGTTTGAGAGCGCATAACTACAAGAAGATGTATTTAAGCAGTAAGACTGTTCTGAAAATTGGCAGTTTGCTAAACCCAGGCACTGAAAATAGTGGGATTATGTAGTAAAGGAAGGGAGAGTAACATTTGTGCTGATCATTTTTGATTCTGACCCCACTGTGCCAACAGGAAGACAATAGTGGAAGTTTAGTTTGGTAGTTTTTGTACCTTAAACCATCCATCTCCTCCATATCATCTAGAGTAATCATGCCGTCTCCAAGAAAAATGTATAGGAAACCATCTGGGCCAAACAGAAGTTGTCCTCCTAGGTGTTTTCGATGTAGTTCTGCTACTTCTAAAAACACTCTTGCTGTCCTCATATCAACTTGGTGTGGATTTTTCCTGCAATTTAAAGATATGAAGACAGTTTTCACAGCTCACTATTGTTCTTCATTCTAAAAGTAAACTTGAGTCATTCAAATTATACTTTAAGATGTGGGTGTCATAACTTTGAGGAAAAATGTCAAACAGTGATTTCTGAGAATTTACAATTTTCCAGCATTCACAAAAAATTACTTTGCTGCCCATACACAAAAAGTAGGAAATAACTATAATTTTAAAATGACAGAATAATTTAAAAATTGCAGAATAATTGAAAAAAGTCTTTAAAAGAATAAACCAGTGTACTTACTGGTGTTCCAAAACTACTGTTTGAAATAAAAGCAGCAATAATTTTTCTGCAAGTGCTCAAGTATACACATTGTAAATCTGATAGTTCATTTTAGCAATGGGAAATACTAAATTGAAAACATTGCTGAGAAATAAAGAATTTGTGAATTTTACACTTCTACTGATACCTGGATACTGTGTATTCTACGACTCTAAGGATGTGGTCGTGAGGTCCAATAGCCCACCGTTCTTGGTTGGTGGTATAAGACACATACAGCTTTCCATTTTTCTTGTAATTGGGATGGAATGCAAGGCTTAACAGTCCTCTTTCATCTCCTCCCTGCAGTCAAATTTAAAACACAAAGAATTGTGAAGTTAATTATGTTCTTTATTGTGTTTCAGCTGGCACACCAAAAAAAAAAAGTTTCTTTCTTGTGGATAATCTTTGCCCAAACTCTTTTATTTCTTTCCTGACTGCACAAAAAGGATTATAAAACGTTTCACTTTGGGGAACTCTTTAAGAGTTAGAACAAGACAATTGTCTTATGTAGTTATCTATGCACAAGTCTCTTATGCCACTTTTGTGGAGTGATTTGTGTACGTAATCTTTGGGAACTCATGAAGACAAGTTTAAGTGCTGTGAAGGATTCTTTGCTGGGTTACTAGGTTGCTTGTAATTCATAGAAGACAAATAAAAAGGTCTATAATCAGCAGTCACTTCTAATCCAAGTATCCAAAACCTAAAACACAGTGCTGGCTGCCAAATCCCACTGTCTTGGCAATATGTTTAGAAAACAGTTAAATTGCTTGTGTAATATGTAAACCTTTGTTTTACCCTGGAGGCAGCAACATCAGTTGTCACAACTATGGTGGTCTGTTCATCATAGAGAGTATACTGTAGGTAATAAGCAGCCTTGGTCTCTGTGCAGTGAAACCATAGTTTTACATGTGGTCCTTCAATGGAAAGGTTTTTGTTATTTTTTAAAGTAAAAATAGAAAAATCTCAGAACAACTTTTTTTTTTGTTATTGTGTTTGCCACAAAGATTAGTACAGTTATATGTTAAGCATCAAATCCATGTAATGTTCTGTGACAATGCAAATACCCTGTGTACTTAAATAGAAGGCAATTTTCTCTTTGGCTTCTAAAAATGTATGTAATATTACTATGCCTAAAATTGTATTTGTAGAAATGAAGAATAAAATTTAGATTCATTTATTGCTCTTGAGTTAGTACAGGGGAGAGAAGCTGGGGCATAGAAATAATCAGAGTACATAATTAACAATTCAAATACAATTCATATATGGGATTATTCACGAGCTGATAGTTGTTTTGGAATTTAACTCAGGGTTTGCCAGCCTTTCACAACCAGTGACTCTGTTGTAGATTCAAGTGCTCCAGCTGCACGCATGAGGAGACAACATTTTGGAACTCTAACCACACCCATGATAACTAATTATGAAATTTTAAATTATAAGAGAGAATGAAGCTTTTAAAATGTATTTGCAATTCAAAGTGATGGATGAGCCTCTCTTTCTGTTGAAAGATGTCCCACAAAAGCCTTAATTGGGAAAGTGCACAGCTTTAATTTATTTTAATTCAACATGATTGCCATACTTCCTTTTTAATCACAACCACCAAAGAGAAACCTGAGTCAGAAATGGAGATGTAAATAGGTCAAGAGATTTCCATACAAAGAGATGTGTACAATGAAATCTGGATCCTGCTAATTTAGAGGCAGCCAAAATTTGCTGGTTTCTTTGCTAGAAAAAAATTTAGTTTCAGGGGTTATCAGAGAGGTTAGTTTTGAAAGTCTAGTTAGAGCTGCCAAATCAGTTGCAGTCATCATGGATGAAGGGACTGGTAAACTAGCTCTTTCTCCTTTATGAGCCAAAAATAATTCTGCAGCTGAGTCTGAACTGATTGTAGATGTTATTGTAGGTGTTTCTAAGAGTTTTGACCAAGTTGCTCTGATAAAGTCTGAAGTGAAGGGAGGCCAATCAGTTGCTGTGGGAACAGTAAGGCATATTTCAAAGATTCCTGACGAATGATTCTATCTGTTGTGCCCAGACAAAGACAGTCCAATTTCTTCTCCCGAGAGATGAGTTCAAGTCATTTAAAGGCCCAGGAATGTCAATGAGTCACACTAGGCCTGCCATTCAAGGTGAGTTATTGAAGGTATTAGTAAGAAAAGATCTGTTACTAAGCTTAAGATTTTATTTAGCACTTGATGTCATGGGAGCAGTCTCAGTGTCAAAGTGAAGTTGTTGAAAGTGTAAACAGGTGAAAATTAAATTAAGAGCTTTTAATGAAGTACACGTAAAGCAAGAATTTAATGAATGAAACACGGGACCTGCAAGGTAATAAGTATGGCACGTTGCAGTCATAGGATCAGGCCAGTATGTCTACAAATTGCTGTCTTCCATGATTCTATTAGACAGCAATGTATTATTACTTACTTTGTTTGTGGAGTGTACCTATTGCTTCCTGAAGAGTCATGCTGCTTTCTGTTTTTCAAACTGAGCTGGACACACTATGTTCTAAGAAGTCTATTTACTCTTGCTTTTAGTAAAACTTTGGAAGCATCCCTTTAAGATACTGAAATCAGTGCAGTATCAAGCCAGTAGCTGGCTTATGGTCAATTAGAAATCCAGCTGATTTTTTCCATGCTTACTTTTTCTGGTTTTGGAAAAGAATTGTTCCTGTATACTTTCAGCTTTATCACTAATTGGGAAACCAGTTAGTTGTTTCCAATTAAATCACTACCAGGACTTCCATAGCTTTTGAAATTATCTCTGTGGTGCCAGAAAGTATAGAGTTTCCTGTAGTGTTATGTCTCTCATATTGTGGGGTAAATTGAGAGATATCCAGCAAAATCCCTTACCAGCATTCATTTTGGTACTGTCAAACTGGAAAATTACATACCAAATTTCACAATGTCAGATTTTCCCTATAGAATAATCCTCACTTATTTTTCATCAACGAACCTCTGATATGTACTGTGAAAGCAGCATCCCAGGTTTTATAGTCTTGTCTTGTAGATACCACGTGTCAAATATCTATATCTTTCTCTTGGCAGCTTAATAACTTCTTGATATCCTTTTCTGTTTAAGTTTCCCCTTAGATGAAACCAGCACCAACAAATTGTAGATGACATAGCAGCTTGTGTGTGATTCTGTACTACACTGTTGGAGGGAATGTCAGTTGTAGAAGGATAGACAAGAATGAGACAAATCCTTGTATTCTATTGGGATGTCTGTTGAAGACAAAGAATGATGGTTGGCTGAAATGAGTGTTAATTACCTAAACATGCTGTGGACTAGGGCCAATGTGAAATCTCTGTCGTAACTAAACCTGGAAGCTCACACTGCCGATGTCTGTCTATGCAGCTCTTGTAATGCAACCCATGGCAATTGTGTATTTTGAATCAATGCTACATTTGTTTCAGAACTGATTTTCTTTGGGCCGGATTATGTGCTTCACCTAAGGAGTTCTGTGAAAGGAAAAACATTCCTTTAAAAACCCGTTTGGTCTAGTTGAGGACCACAAGCATGAAAATAATTTAATCAGAATTATGTTATTATAAGTCAGTACAAAGCCAAGTAAAGATTAATTGTATGCATTAAACTTAAACTGTTTCTTTACTTTTTATTTTTAATTGGTTGGTTAGGTACATTATGGTACATAGTGTTCTCAACTGAAGTAGATTTTTAGTATGTCTTTTTGCATAGTAATTTCTGCTGCAACATATTTACTCTCATGAAAATCTGAAACAACTGCACAACACTATCCACTTTGCATTTTGAATAATGTAATTTTTGTAATTATTTGTAAAAATATTTTAAAAATTGTAAAAATTTGTAATTTTTGCATGTAAATACTGAATTTTTATGGAAAGGTGCTATTTTCACATCAGTACTCCTTAGAAGTGGGCTCTACTTTCAATCTATGTTTCCAAATGTACTCTGATATATCTCTGAAATTATATATGGAAGTATTATTATATTAATAAGGTATTCTACTCTTCCTATAATACAGAAACATATGCTGCAGTTATTTTTAAGACATGCTGCCATTTCATTATGTCAATATATGTATTATTTCCTGTAGTAAATATAGAGAAATACATGGAACTGCCCTAACTAGTATTGTTAACTATTTCATTTAAAGTAGATCATATTGTAAGCATAACCTTTAATTATCTAACCTTAATATTAATTTTAATTAATTTTAGTAAGCAAAACCAGGCATGACCATTTATTTTCATTACTCTGTGTGGCTTAATAGTAAACAATATGGGTAGCAGATTCCGAGTTTTCCTTTAAAATTGGTTTCACAATTCACTGACTCATATAAAATAGTGGTATTTATACTTAACAGCTTTTTCATCTGGACAATCCCGTCCTCATGTTGGAAATGTGTAGCAACTTTTTAAAGAGGAGGTGTGCTTAAAATACACATATTCAATGGCCGTTTGTGACTTAAAATATTAACTCTAATGTAATGGCTTTATATCATTTGTTTTCATCTATTATTATAGAGGAAATGCTGAGTAACTTGCACAGTATGATCACCCTTAATTTAGTTTATTTCCTGTATAATAAATACCATAACTAATATGCATTACCATGTGTTTGATCTTAAAGTGTTTTATTTGTAAAAGACATGGGGGAAGGGGTCATGGAACATCTAAAATTTCTTATCAGGCAGTACCATATGAACTATTCAGAAAGGGATTTCTAATTAGGAGATCCCAAAAGAATCTCTGCTTATTTGAACCTTCCTTTACCGGATCTTACTGTAGGGCTTAAGATCAATGTCAGGTGTTTTTCTCAGAGGGAAGTGTTTGCTTAATCAACATGTTTTGGAAATTTGGCCCCAGCACAGGACACAACTTTGTCTACAGCAGAAGTAGAAACCAGCAAAAGGTCTGCTGCAAGGGTACACCTTGCCTTTCAAAGCTGCATCACCTATTTTGAGAAACAGAAGGCAGAGATGCCTCTGACAGGTGAAAGGAGACAACAAATAAAGAATGTGAAAACCAAAAATTGCCTGGGCTGTAGGTATGGTAGGAATAGAGCTCCTATAGACCTCTTGGGTGTTGAAAACTCAAGTGCTTTGCTATCTGAACATCTGTGGAGCCTGGGGCCTCTGGCAAGGGAAGAATTTGTAACGTAAGACACTTACCTTAGGGAAAAATAGTTACACTGATGTCATGGCTCAGTATAGCATACATACTAGACCCTATCTCCAAAGCATTTCCTTTTTCCTGTTGCAATGCAAAGCTTCATTTTCCTCCCTCATTTTATAAAAGGCTTTGTGGTTGTCTACAGATTTTAAAAAATATTTTCAATATTCTTTACTTATTTTAACAAATGCACTATTTTAATACTTCACTTAAAAATAACTTTAGATTCAGGAATGCATTACAATTAAATTTAGACAGGAAAAATACTTAAGAGGGCCACACTCTTACTTTGAATTTAAGCACAAATTCTACTGAAGTTAGAGGTCTTTTTTGTTCAGTTAAGTGCAGGGCAGGATTTGGCTGAAAGTGATTGATGGCCAAAGTATGCCTATCACAAAGTTGTGTGCTCTGATGTTTGCAGTGATATTTAAGCCCTCATTTTTTTACAGGAAAACTGAACTCAATAAAGTAATGATGTCCTACTTCTTTAGTGTCCTGTGTGTTCAGAAGTTAGACCTATCAAAAGGTACTAAGAAGATGATTGATAAGAACAGTTTTGCATGGATTTTGAATGGGGCTTCTCTGCACTTGTGTAAAAGTTAGAGTACCTATTCGCAGGAATTACACATGCACATTTGTTATGCAGCATAGTTTTCCAGCAAAACAAGAACTCTGGAGTAGCCACAACTTGAACAGAAATAAATAAAAATAGTTTGAGATCTAAAGATAGCACTGGAACTTAAAAACCTAATTATTTTTCAATTGTTACTTCTTATGCAGCAAAAACAAAATTTTGACACGGCCTTGATAACTTTTTCTTTTCCTTACCTTCATAGTCCTTTGAAGAGAACAGCCACTAAATGCAGAACCTTTCACTTCTATCCTAGTCCTCTGTACTTATTTTCCTAATTCCTCAACTCTAGATTTTCCTGTTCTGCTGGGCAAGTCTTTAGTTTAATTCAAATGACAATCCTTGTCCCCTGATAATACAATTCTTTCTCCCCGTCCTCCTAAAGAAAGTATATGAAACTTATAAATGCCAATACCAACCCAACACCAACTCACAGCTTGCCTCCTTCACACTCTTCTATACACTCTAAGATACGAATCCTGCTTTGACAACTCTCTCAATTATTGGTTAGAAGCAGCTAAAAGCTTTGAGACTGCCCAGAGCCAGCCAATAATTGAGAGGTTTTGGGCAGAGTGACATGCGACTGTGAGTGTGCTTGCAAGGAGGTGGCCATGAGCCCATGTGAGGTCTGCATCTGGACTGAGAAACTTTATGTAGTGCACTACTTTAGGAGAATTGGAATAACAGAAGACAGTGGGAATCAGTCTCGGAAGAGGGAGATTCAAATAAAGACCAGATGATTATTGCATTCAGTAAAGCTGGCTCAAGAAGGTGTGAATTACACACTTTGCTGCACCACAGAGGCCTCTTGAGCTGTAAGCAACATTCGTCCTCTGGGAACACAGGTGGTGATTCCACCTCTGTCCCCAGCTGGATTTATTTTCAAGGAAGATTTACATTCCACCAGCAGTTCAGTGAGTGGTTCACCAGTGGAGGCCACTAAGGGAAGGTAAAAAATAAGCATGCTCCTTCTTATTTCCCTGGCACGCCTCCACTTTCTGGTCTTTATTTATTTATTTACTTGGCATATCTGCTCTCCTATATATACTTTTCCTCTTCAGCATTCTTCCACTATAGCGTGTCTTGTCCTCACAGCTTTTCAGCTGCGCTGGTTTGAGGTCTATTGTGTTGTAGAATTAGCCTTCTAGGAAAGCGAGAAAGCTTCTTTCAAGTGATGGAGAACGCAGTAAGTGTTAAGAAATTTACTGACCATGAACATCCTTCATTAATAGGGAGAATAGACTTGATGACCTTAGTATTTTTTCTCCTTCTTTCTGTTGCTTTTAAGCTTTATCCACCTTTCCTTCCCACTAATGTGATAAAAGCAAATTTTACAACTCTCTTTCAGTGGGCAGTCCAATAAAATTGGCTCAGATGATACCTCAATTGAATAGACTATGTTACATTAACATTCACAAATACATGATGACAAAAGACTAATGATCCCTTTTTAATTCACCAAAACTGTGGCTTTGCCTTTTCCAATCAAGAATGATTTTTTTTAGCTTAGACCTCATTTTAATGCTATGTAACATTATTTTTCTGTAAACACACAAACAATACAAATGAACCTTATTACTGATTAACTGTTCTACCAATGCTCTAATTTGTGTGTGGCTGACTCAGACATCTACTCTGGTTTTCTTATGCTCTCATTCCTTGACTCTGTATGTAGAAATT